GCATGCATGCATGCATGCATGCATGTATATGTATATGTATATGTATATGTATATGTATATGTATATGTATATGTATATGTATATGTATATGTACATGTACATGTACATGTATATGTATATGTATGTACATGTATGTATCTATAGAGAGAGGCAGCGAGCTAGATACGTCTTAATCTGGCTAGTGGGACCATCTAGCACGCTTTGTGGTAACAAATTAACAGAGTGACAGAACTGAAAGGGACCCTGAAGGGCTTCTAGTCCAACCCTCTGCTCAAGCAGGAGAACCTCTAGCACTTCGTACAAACGTTGTCCAGTCTCTTCTTAAAAACCTCCAGTGGTGAAGCCCCCACAGCTTCTGGAGGCAACTTCCCTTCCCCTGGTTCATTCTCCTCACTATTAGGGAATTTCTCCTCGGTTCTAGGTTGCTTCTCCCCTGGATTAGTTTCCACCCATCGCTTCTGGTCCTGCCTTCAGGTGCCTTGGTATATAGCCTGACGCCCCTCTTTGAGGGTGGCCCCTCAAATATTGGAACATTGCTATCATGTCAAATCATGTAGATTATACAAAGCAGACACTGCCTGGAGTTAGGTTTAGTTCACAGCAAAGAATCGTGACTTGTGTTTCATCTTCCTCAGAAGAGAAGTCTTCTCCATTAGCATGTAGGTTGATGGTTACATCTAGACTTTGTCTTCATGAGCAAGAAAGTCCAAGTCAAAGGGAATCTTGGCTTACTCCAGGTTTCTATCCTTCCCACTTGTTGGGGTGGACAATGGCATTTGAAAAAATGAATTATTATCACCCACTCATCTGTGAAAAGACTCTAGTTTGTGCCACAAAATCATGATTAGGTAAACCCACCCTTGCTGTGATGGCCCAGGTGACCCTTGGGAAGAAGGAAGGAAGACACTTACGGTGTTCATGGCACCTAGCAAGAAGTTCTAAATCATCTGCGTGGTAGTAATCATAACCAGATGTCCCAAGAACCTCAAAGGGCAGATAACCAATTATTGGTGGAGCTCTAGGAGAATAGAAAGGAGGGGGGGGGGGAAGCTATGATTATTAAAGGTTAGGTCTTTGATGTCTAGAGAATGTATTCTTTAACAGATCAGCAAAACTATCCCCAGATGAATTATCCATTTTCATGAAGAACGTTGGAGGAAGTTGTGATGCCTGGTCTGAAGAAGTCAATAATGGGAGGACCTAGAAGTCTTCAGATATATAAACAAGGGTGACTTGGAGATCCCTAAGATGCTTTTCCAGAAGGCAACAGGACTCCCTATGAGTTTTTTTTCTCCTTTCGCTTCTCATCCAAGAAGTAGCAGCTTCTAATCCTCCTCCTCCTTCTTCTAGAATAGAATAACAACGTTGGAAGGGGCCTTGGAGGTCTTCTAGTCCAACCCCCTCCCTAGGCAGGAAACCTTATACTGTTTCAGACAAATGGTTATCCAACATCTTCTTAAAAACTTCTAGCGTTGGAGTATTCACAACTTCTGGAAGCAGGTTGTTCCACTGATTAATTGTTCTCACTGTCGTCTCCTCCTCCTCCTCCTCCTCCGTTCGTGAATAAGAAATGTTTTCAAGGAGGGGGGAAAGAAAAAAAAGGAAGTCCAGTTGCCATGTGGAAAAGCATCTTTCAGACAACCGTGACTTGATGGATTGAGAATAGCTCTAGTGAGAAAGGCCTGGAACCAAAGAACCATCCCTGATGCAGCTTCAAGGTCCTTCAGAGCTGCCCTCGAAAGGATTTGCCCTCAAAGGTCGATTCTTCAATCATTATAGCTGAACTGACGCCCTTTGCTTTCGGGTGATCTCCCAGAGAGCCTCTGTAGAAAGCTAAGGAGGATGACTGCATAAGAAAATGATGATGATGATGACTATTATAATCATTATTAAAATAACTCTGCCTGAAGGCACAAGATCCAATCAGAATATGCAACACAGGTGCAACATAGCACTGACTTCACCCAAGGAAGCGTTGCTGGACAGTTTATCCTGTCTTTGCATTGAGCTAATAGCAATGAGGGAAGTGAGTCATCTGGTATCCCAGCTTGAGGGTTTTAGAGCTGGACAGGCATGTTGGAGGCCCAGGTATGTCATAAAGTGTAAAGGTAAAGGTTCCCCTTGCACAGATGTGCTAGTTGTTCTAGGGGGCGCTGCTCATCTCCCTTTCAAAGCCAAAGAGCCAGCGCTGTCCGAAGACGTCTCTGTGATCATGTGGCCGGCATGACTAAACACTGAAGGCGCATGGAGCACTGTTCCCTTCCCACCAGAGGTGGTTCCTATTTTTACATGCTTTCGAACTGCTAGGTTGGCAGATAGGAACGAGATAGGAACAGTTTCGGAACCGGCTGGACTGCTTAAAAGGGGGGAAAAGAAACTTTAAGCAGCAAGAAGGAAGGGGGGGGGGAAACCCAAAGAATTATTCTGTTTGAATAATGAGAAGGCAGGCTGGCTGTGCAACCTGAAAAGTATTTATCCATCCACCCCTTTCATCTTATTCATTGCTCAGGATATTTGTAACTTCCTGTCCTCCTTGGAATTTAAAAATAATAATCTTGGTAGGTTTTCCAAATAGGAAAGCAGTGACTCAGCTGTGGCTGAACTATTAAAGTGAAGGAATCATCAGGATGGAATGGAGGTTTGTATTCCTGGACAAAGAAAAGACCAGAGACAGAAAGGACCAAAGGGAAATAAAATTACACGCAGAGGGTCAGGCTATCTGCTCCAGCGGCAAAAGACCAGCATTCGTGGGCTAGAATCGGGCAATCAGGAGGAATCCTGGTTTGGCAGACACGCCACAAAGCCAGGAGCCCATTTCCGTGGAAACCAATTGTGTGAATTGTGGTGAATTCAGGTATGCTCCAGTTGCCTTGGAAAGACCAGGAGGGCCCTGTGAAGGGGCAGGCCTCTGATTGAAGCAGGAAGGGAGAGAGAGAGACGGGCGGGCAGACAGGTGGGCAGATGGAGAGATGGACAGACAGATAAACAGGCAGAATGATGGGCAGACGGACAGAGGGATGGAGAGGGAGAAAGGACTCTTGACCTCCCTTTGACGCTCCATGTTTCTTTTGCCCCCATAAGCCATTTCCTACCCTTTTCAGGAACCCCCAACCAAACCAACTTACCTGTGGTCTAAAAACAAGAACTTCCATTCCAGGCTGTGCCGTGAGGTGAATTCTTCACAGGAGTCTTCCATGTTACAAAGTTCCTGCTCAAACAGATAACAGAGGACCCGGTTAGCTGGTTGGTCTTCTTCCTCTCTTCCTCTCCTTCTTGCTCTCTTTCTGTCTCTGTCTGTCTGTCTGTCTCTCCCTCCTCCCCCCCTCTCTCTGTCTCTCTTTCCTTCCCTCCCTCCCTTCTTTCTCTCTCTCTGTCTCTCTCTCTCCCTCCCTCCCTTCTTTCTCTGTCTCTGTCTCTCTCTGTGTGTGTCTCTTTCTTGCTGTCTCTCTCGCTCTTCGATGAAACTCCCCAGAAACAAATGATCCATTTGACAAACCCAAGCCTGTGCCATTTATATTTTTCCTAACCATATTCCTGTACCATAAACTTTATTCTCCATCCGGGGGCTTCTCTAATTTGTCATTTTTAGTTTGCTTTATTTCCTCTGGGCAAAGAACGCTTCACTGTGAAGATGGCGGAATGATCCACTCCCCGTCGGACCGCTTCCACCCTTCCACCCTCCTTCCATAAAACTCTAAAGCTGCAGGACAATCCTATCTGTATCGAAACGTCCCGTGGGGGCATCTCCTTCGGATGGCATATAGTCCCATCTCCACGTTTTGGTACGTAGCGCTAGATTAGAAAAACCCAGAGGTGGAAAAATTTCCCCAGAGCCTTGCTTAGAAGACACTCAAATTTCCCCTTTTAAGGGGGAAATGATAAAAGCATTTTGACATTTTGACGTTTTATAAATGTCTTCACTCCCAAAAATGACATCCCTAATGAACGTCCCAAAGGTGCTTTTATTTTCAAGAGGAAACTGGACTTTCTGGTTTTAGTTTGAAGACATTTTGCGTCTCATCCAAGAAGCTTCTTCAGTTCTGACTGGACTGGAGGGAATGGAAGGATTTACACTCCTTGCAAATAGCTGGATATCTGCATCCTTTTAGAGGGTCGTTGAGGCCACCTGGAGGTTTCTCTGTGTCCTCGGGGTCACCTGAGTGGTTCCAATGGGTGTGTGGAGCCTTCTTGGAACTGCTGAAAGGACCGTGTTGTAGACTGGGGGGTAGATGATGTCCTGCCCCTCCCCCTTTTGTTGAGAGAGGGCTGTTCAATTTGGACATTGATGGCTCAAGGACCCTCTAAAAGGATGCAAATGACCAGCTGTCTGCAAGGAGTATAAATCCTTCCATTACCCAGCATCCCGTCAGAGCCAAAGAAGCTCCTTGGAAGAGAAGCGAAACTTCTTCAAAGAAGAACCAGAAAGTCCAGTTGCCTCTTGAAAAAAAGGCACCTTTGGGACAGTCATGGCCTTGGATGATGGAGAATCTCCATAGATATCCCTCGTGAAGTTCTCCACTGATGGTTCTGAACGCAGAACCCGTGGAAAGCTTTCCGCGCGGCTCCTTCTGCAGGCTCTTCTCCAAGGACCCTGGATGGTTATCTGGTTAGCGTTATGACTTAGCAAAGAGACAGCGCACCTTCAAGAACTGTGGCGTAACGAGACGGACCGTTGCAACTAGACACACCTGGGTGTCACTGACGGACCGGAACGCCCGTGCCACGGGAGGCTCGAAGCCGTTGAACGATGACGCAGGCGCTAGAAGCAAACAGAAACACCAACAAGATCTTCAATCAATCAGAGCAGAGCTGGGAGGGACCTTGGAGGGCCTTGAGCCTGACACCCCTGTCCTTAGAGCATTTGGACCAAGCGGTTCTCCAATATCTTCTTTAAAACCCCCAGGGATGAAGCATCCGCTTACCAGGGGAAAACTGTTTGAAATCCACCACAAATTTGACATATTCGTATGTCACGGCCTCATTCGGATCCAAGTTTCCTCGGGCTAAGTGGCAGCAAAACTCCATTTGTTTTTCGGCTAAAGAGACCGACGGAAAAAAAGAGTTTTTTGCAGAATAATACAAAATCAATGAATTGTCAAGTCAGAGGAGGATACCCCATGAGGTCATCTAGTCCAACCCCATGCTTGGAACGTTCTGTATATCAATCATGAATTGGACTAGACGGAACGTTAGAATAGTTGCTGGCAAGATGGCTCAAAAAAAGAGATTCAGAAATAGGGCTAGGTGAAAATCAAGTTTTTCTTGTTTCTTTTCTTTTGTTTATACATTTTTCTTTGGTATACATAAGTGCTTAATAAACAGAGTATCGTCTGGGTCAATTTAAATAATAATAATAATAATAATAGTAGTAGTAGTAGTAATGTTATTGATTTATACATAGTGATAAACATCCTATACACGTAACATAGTTGTGATCTTTCATCTTCTAAATTCTATCTCTCTTGTCTAACAATTGATAAAACAAACCCCATGTTAAAAATATTCTGTATCCTCCTTATCTTTTATCTTTAGTGTCAACCTATCCATTTCTGCGCATTCTCATATTTTTTTAAATTATATTGTCATCTGCAGGAGTTTCCTCATTTTCTCCAATACTGTGCAAGTACAATTCTCACTGTTGTCAAAACATGTAATATTAAATATATATTCCCTTTATTATATTTTTTCTGGCATTATGCCCAACAAGAATACTTCTGGCTTTAAATCCATATTTAAATCTTATTTCTTAAGCCCTTTGGTGCTATTGAACCATTTCTAAAGCACGCTTTAGGAAAATTAACATTTCTTTGCTGAAAATAGCAAAACGCCTCACTTACCATTTAGAAAATCAGAGGTCACGAGCACGTGGGCTGAAAGAAGCTTGTACACGTTGTTCTGTTCACACTCAGGTAGGAAATTTAATATATTTTGGTCCACCAAATCTGACTGAGACAAAAGAATTTTGTTGTGTTCAGCAAGAGAGTTGCAGTGGCGGTGCAAAAGTATAGTAAACCAAGAGAAGTTCGGATGTTGTGCGGTTAGAACTCACCGGTAAATGTCCAAGCAGCGAAGAGACACTATCGGATACATAAATAATGATCCCATCCGTGGTCAGTGCAATGAGAAACCCGTCTAATGCCTGGGGGGAGGAGGGAAAAAGACACGATATAGGAACAAAGAGGATGCTCTTGGCTATTCACCTCAAAGTTAAATTTTCAAGGGAATTTATGGACTATGAAATGTTGTTCAAGGCTGACAGGAGAGCTCAGCACGAAGTATTAAAATCCATCTCTGATTATTGAGCAGGAAGGAGGAGAAGCAGATCCAGAAAAGGTAGCAAAATTATTTGTTGGTATTATATTTTTAGCAACAGAGCACGAGAGAGAGAGAGAGAGAGA